CTCCTCCACCTTAAGACATGGAGATGGAGCATGGATATTATATTATTATTACACAAAAAAAAAGCATCATTTTTTGGGGGGGGGGTTACACAAATGAAACGGACTTAATCCTACAACATATTGATATAAGCATGGCAGTGGGGGGGGGCCGTTACCTTGCGCTTTGTTGAGGCCTTGCAGCGCATGGTGACTTTGTGCAGGCGGTTGAGGTGACCCGACGGTTTGGGAGGAGAGAGGAGTGCCATCAGGTTGCCGCGGTTGGGGGTGGACAGGGTGGCGCTGAAGCGCTGCTGGTGCCCCTCCTCCTCTCCGGCTGCTGGCGTGGAAGACTCAACGGAGGAAGTGATGTTCCCTGAAGAGAAAAGGGAAAATAATAATGAACAAGAGACACTGAGGTGGAATGACCTGCTGGATTAAGCACCAGATCTCCTTGTTTACTTATTCCGCGGACATCTTGTGTTCGACACTAAGTGTGAGGCTGTGAGATTGTATATATACCCAGAGAGTCCTGGTCTGGAGGCTGCACGGTGGTTTGGCTCCGAAGGGGGTGGTAGATGTAGACAGTGTTTGAAGGCAGGGAAGCCCGAGGCGCGCAAAGACTACTCGCAACCAGTTCTCGACTTTGAATCAACTCTGAGGTGTCGATCTAAGAAGAGGAAAAAAGAAGAAAAAAAAAACAAAAACATAACATCTATGAATGATTTCTACACAAAATACTATTATTGACTCTCATCTGACCCTTGACTGGAACCGTCCGCACATTCCAGTAAGTCACTAGAAGCAGTTCTATCGTCAAATATTTAAAAACGCTCCGCTCCTGGAATTCTATTTGATGCTGAGTCGACAAACGCGTACTTCCTCATAGCTGAAGGAGGTCTGTGTCGTAAAAGTAACACACTGCTTCCATGGCGCTCCTTGACATCGTTCGGTGATGTTGGAGGTATACAATTCCAAAAGTTAGAGTCGGTTCTCGATACCCACACCATTTGGAATCTCCACGTATGAAGTGGCGAAAAAACGTTTGCCGCATAGTTGCACCGAGTGAGCTTTTCTTTTGTTTTGGGGATTGACACGTTTGAAGGAGCTGCAGTACCTGCGCCTTCCTGAGCAGTTCGATGGTGACGGCCAGCCAGTCGGGGCAGCAGCTCTCCAGCTCCAGAGTGATGAGGGCCAAGGCCAGCATGGGTCCTCTCAGCTACATGACAAAAGGGACAAACTAATACAGTACATGCACAAGTCCGACATATAGAATTACAGGAAAAAAAAAAAACCACCAAAAAATGAGTCAAGCGCACGGCAGAAGCAAGCTGATAATCTGCAGTTGAGTTATGTACGGTATACATATCAGGGCCCGACCGATCAATTGACCCGCAAATTTAATCCGCCAATATTGGCTCTTTCATGGTGTTCAAACTTCTTTGCAGACCCCCCAAAAGATTCTTTGCCTTCGTTAAACAAATACTATTCACCCATGTATTGTAAAACAGTCAAATGCTCTGCCTGTAAATCAAATCTTTATTATTAAATGTTAAGGGACCAACAAAGAGGTCATTTTATGAATTAAATATTGAATTAATCTGTCCATTCATTGGTATTCATTGGAATTCTATCGTGCCAAATATTGGAATCGGTCTTAAAAAAAATTTAGAAATAAAAATCCCCATTGGTTGAGCCCTAATACAGTATGTCATTGTAATATTTCCTCAAGTTGTACCTGAATGAGCGAGTGGTCAGCCAAACAGCGGTAAAGTCGTCGTGTGAGCAGGGCCAGATGCTGAGAGCGGTTCAGTCCCAGCAACGAGTCCAAAAACCCAGAACAACATGACAACACCATTGCATGGAACTATGGAAGAAGTAGAAATGATGGGGGGGAAAAATTGAAAAATAAGATTTTTTTTCATTAATGATAAAAAATAATTCACAACAGATCAATTCACCTATTATTCAATGAGATATATGAATGCAAAGACAAGAAATATATTTAAAATCTACGGGCAAACGACGTTTCGAGGTTACAAAAACATCGTCAATACGCGATACAAGCTATGCTCGAGATTGTTTTACATTTATGGCCACGCACTGTTTTACACACAAATATTTACTGTAGGTGTGACTTTGCTACTGTGTTAGCAAAGGAAAGTCAGAGTAGGCAATAACGGTTCCGGATGATGACGGTGGCCCCCGTCGTAACCCGTCAACAATGAGTGCTTTAAATCTAAATGACGTCATGTAGGAGACTGTGTGCAGCATGTGGAAAGACGCACAATATGCAGGAAGTCCAGCGACGTGGCACTGTGAAGATCCCAGTTGAGTTTGTCAAGGATGATTCTTTCCATCCTCAGGATTTCGGATGGCGAACAGCCACAGCTGCTGGACACAACCAACTCCTTCAGAGAGGGCACACACTGGGGGAGACACACACACACACACACACACACATGCACGTCTTCAAGTGTAACGGACAGCGATTGAACTTATTGCATAACTTTCTACGGGAAATGTTTGTGTTCATATTGCGTTTGTATTGACCTCATCCTCCTCACAGGTCTTGATAGCCAGGAAGAAGGAGGCAAAAGCAATGCAGCGGAGGTACTTTGGACGAGCCTGAAGGCAAAGAATAAAATCAGACACAAAAGACATTTGTATTAAATCATGACTACTGTACATCGTTTTATGCTACATAAACACCCCAACACGCACACACATACACAAATAATGGCAATTGAATTATTCCATTCCATCAAAACTGTTAACTGTACATCTCAGGGCATTGGCATACCTTGATGGAAGCCAGGAAGCGATCCAGAATGCTAACAGCTAACACCAAAGTCTCTGGGTACAGCTGCAGTCTGCCATGGAGCTCTGTCAGCCAGCACACGGCCTTGTCCCGCTGAGTCGGGGAGATATCTGTATCCTTCATGAAAAGACAGGAAATACGAAACTTGCATCACACTGTCAAGGATTTGTTTTAGTCCTTTGGATTAATCCTATTCTGGCAGAGAAAAAAAAATATAAAAGATAAATACAACTTGAGAAGGCATCACAGTAGGGTTGGCCAATGATAGGGCTGGGCGATTTGATTAAAAAGTGTATCAAGACATAAGTATATCAGTCAATATCAATATATTGGAATATGATTTATTTTGAACATTTAATGTTAAATATGAGGGTAAAACAGCTATGAAAAAGTAAAATTAACTGGTCAATTTAAAGGTGACATAAAGGTTTTTCTAAACAGTGTTCTTAGTAGGGCTGGGCGAAAGACAACTTGCATTTTGTTTTATTGTGTTTATTGAGTTCTATTGCAGTAGACCAAAGCCCTAACCTGTGAGGAGGGCTTCTTTGGCACATAGACCCTCCACATCTTGGCTTCCCTCGACATGGCCTTTTCGAGAAGAAAAGCCAGTCTGTGGACTCCCCAGGGTTCGGAGAACTTCATTCCTTCTCACCCTGGTTAAGCCTTCCTCCCCACTGGATACAGCTACCTGCAAGATGATAAAACTCAATTGGACTCGTTCATTTCAAACAAAAGCTGGGTTAGGCTTGGTATCAACTCGCGTAACATTGTGATGCACGGATTGGTAGATAGATAAGATAGGTAGATATGGATATTCATGACAGCAATGACTGTAGATTGTTGAGCAGTCAGTCATTATCTTTATGTGTCTTACGAAAGCTTACTAAATGAATGATAAATATAAGGGGGATGGCTTTCTGCCAAATCTACTGTTATTCCCCGGAACCGGGCTAATGAGTTTCCGTCGAACGAGCTAGCTTGTTGACCTGACGTCACAAAATAAACTGAAACTTCTCTTCGACGTGTAACAATGTATTTTTTTTGTGGGAGAGCCTTATGAATAGATCCGACCCGATCAGCGGTTGTATTTTGACAAAAGAAAGCACGTTTGCTACGACAAGCGTGCTAAACGAATGCTTATGCCATTTAAATAGCTGCCGTGGATCCAGGAAGTAGACGGCACCCTGAGCCTTACCTCCCCTGCGAAGCGGAGAAAACCACGGTTGGATTTCATCCGGTCCACTCAGTTCCGAGATAAATAAAGTCGGGGAAATCGGGGACCCGCGTTTTCGCTTAGTCGTCCATCTTGGCTTCCGTTGGGGGCGTTATTGTAAAATATAAAAATAAAGTTGGGGAAAGTAGACAGCGAGTGTCCACTTCCGAAGAGGGGACTGGGGGAAGAGAGAAGGAAACAAACCCCGCCTCTTTCTTGGCCCCGGGCCAATGGGAGAATAAAGAAAAGCATTCGTGTGACCGAGACATTTTTTTTTATATCTTTCAGAGCTTTTCACCTACTTATTTAGCTGGATATTTATTTAAGCAACTTCCGAACACTGACATTTGTGGAATATTCGCACAGTGGAGCGCAAATCCACAAGATACATCGATGTGCTTGACTGATCAGTTGTATAACATTCATAACGTTTTTTTTATGTTATGGGTCGTATATTTACACAGTGCATCGTATCTTTTTCCACGGTAAACTACTCATGTAATTTGTTTCTTTTGGATTGAGTCTGTCTGTTGCGATCATAAATCACACAGTAGTCTACAGAGAATTTGACTGAGAAAAATACATTTATGAAGAGATCTACCCCAAACCCTTACGTAATGCAATACTTCACGACGAGCCTCCATCTCAGATCAAGAGCCAATCAAAAACGCCTATTTTGGGCGGATTATTTGAACGTGAAAATGCGCGGCTCGGTGATTGGGTAATAGAAACGTCAATCCGAAAACAGTCGTCTTTTGTTCAAGGTCGGTAATATTTCAGTTCCAGCGGTAGCTTTCGTCAAGGTGATAATATACTTGTCGTGTGACATACTGTAGTATTATGCATATCATTGTTATGACATCGGCCTAGACAAAACGATAATAATGCCTGTAACAATGTACGTATTACGCTTGAACGTTGTAGCCGCTACGGCCGTAGGGGTTTCTGGTTTTACCCCAATGTCACGATTGGTTCATCTGACCTGACGTCATTGGTGGGCGTATGTATTAGCAACATCAACAAAAGGGAGAATAGAGAAAGGAGACGGACCGCAGGAAAAACACAAGACTACACCACCCAAATACAACAGAGATGTGGATCTAATTTGCTTTAACAGGTAGGATCAGTTTCTAGGGATTACTGAAATATTACACAGACGCTGCGATGAATTCATTCTGTCTCGAATCGGCGGAGAAAATTAACGGAGGAAAGTAAAGGAATGACAATTTTTACATTGGCTAAATCTAAATAAGAAGAGTAATCGAACGATCATCAAATATTCACAATGTCTCTTATTCGATGAATGTATCACCAAAGTTGTGTTTAATGTGTGCCGTTTCGAAAACTGTAGTCAAGTCAAATCTCCAGTTTAGCCTCTACACGGAAAACAGGCATTCCGCTAATATTTCGTTCTTTTTTTTACGTTGGTTCGGAGAAAAATAGCAATTTAACATCAGTTTGCAAGCACAGTATTCCTCTGACAACCATCTATGTATTTTTCACTTGGACGTTGTTGGTATCCTCAAAATCCTGTTCTGTCCAAGGAACGATTTTAAACCATAGCAATACAGAAAAAAATACATGAATATATATAATTGGTATTATTGTGCCATAATGTTGAAAACGTTTGTTTTGGTGTCAATGACGCCCAAGTAGGGGAGAATGTTTTGCAGTTTGAGGAATAGGAAAAACAGCCCCTCCCCCGCTCCAAAGGGAAGATTTAAAAGGTTCGCGAGCTGCAGTCAGCGACCGATTCAGCTCCCTCGGTTGCCATCTATTAAGTCAAGAAAACGGAACTGAACCTTGTGTCGTTTTTTTAATGTGCGTTTTACGGGCCAAATAAACAAGCGACGCCGTGAAAAAGGACAGTTGTTTTTTTTTTTTTTTTTTTTGCTCTGGGGCCCAGAAGGCGTTCCCTCCCGAGAAATCTGACACCCGGGTCCAGCTGTGGGGAAGTGGGCCGGCCTGCGAGCTGCGCTCGTCACTTCTTTCCTAAAGCAGGTCAACATTCTGGACCAGTATAGGGATAGATATCAGTGACAACACACACCACACCGACCAGAATTACATAAGTGTTTTTGCTTCTGCAGTGAGAAGACGAGAGTGCCAGCTGAGACATGGATGCCTTCAAACTGATGAAGGAACTGCGGGCCAACTATGAGCTGGAGGTCTATTATCTCCCCAAGGAGACAGGCCTGAGTCTCATTGAGTCCACTAATCAGGTGAGTCTGCTATCTCGACTTTCAATAAAGCTACTTCTTCCTTGACATGTCTCAATCAAGGGTTTCAGTTTCTTCTTTACTGTACTCACATGACACAACCATAACTTGCTGTTGTAAACTGTGACTTTGAATTTCATAAAAAAATTTAAGAGACCAATTAAATGCCAGCTCAGATGTGCTGTGACCCACTTTGCAAGTGCAACATTTTTTTGTGCGCCCAAGGCAAATCTTTTCCTTCCTTTCTTTCAATCCATCTACCCATCCTCACAAGGGTCGGGGGTGTGCCCGAATCGATGGTGTGGAATTTGCATGTTCTCCTTGCGCTCACTTGAGAAAATTGTAAAATCAATGGAAGACTCGAAATTGGCCATAGGCACACACGCGAATATGAGGGCAGTATTGTGTAAAACTGACCGGCGTTCATTTTCCAGAAGGACGGGCGGATCTCAGCCAAGTGCAGAGATGCCAAAGTGGAGGACTTGTGGAGTCTGACCAGCTTCTTTGGCTACAGCACGCAGACCTTCGTTCTGGCTGTGAACCTGCTTGACAGATTCTTGGCCATGATGAGGGTACGAGATGCTCCTATTTCAACGGTTACAGTTTAAAAGTGTTTTTTTTTTTGTGGAACTGGTGATACAACATGGGATCATCGTTAAGTATTAAAAAAATCAGCATTTATCTATTTCAGATCCAACCGAAGCACTTGTCCTGCGTCAGCCTGAGCTGCCTCCACATGGCCGCCAAAATGACGGAGGAGGAATGCAACCTCGCGTCCACGGACGAGCTCATCCGCATCGGGCAGTGCCGCTTCAGTGTGTCCGACCTCGGCCGGATGGAGAAGATCATCACTGAGAAGCTCGACTTCAAGTCCAAATCTGTCACAGCCTTGACCTTTCTGCACTTGTACCATCGGATTGCACTATCTCACTCCACGGAGGGGTAAGGAGGAAGACTGACTACACCTTTTTTGTTTTCCCCTTTTCGTTGCAAAGAACGCTAGAGTCACGCACATCTGAAACGGAAAAGGGGATTCTAGCCACCCCTGGAGTACGTAATCTCACTAAATACTGGGAGAACATTCGGACTCACATGACACCTATCGACAATTTAGTCTTCAATCAAAACGAGCACGCGCGTTTTTGGAACGCCGAGGATGTCAATTCCACACAGGAAGGCCAAAGTCAAGATTCAAACCCAGGACCTCAGAACTGTGAACCAGAAATGCACATCACTAGGGCACTGTGCTGCCCCAGATAGAACCGACTCCAATCAAAACAGACGTGCTGCCAGCTTGCACTCGCAGCTACTAAATAAAAACAATAGTCGTTCATGCGACAGTAGTTGTAACAATGTAACAAAGAAGGCTTCAACTATTTTCAATCTGGAAATATTTAATGACACGCTTGACATATTCCCCCCCCCCCCCCCCGCCCCCATCGGCATTTGGGCCTTTCTGCCGCCGCAGACGTGCCGTCTGCAAATTCAACTTTCGCTCGACGTTTTCTGCTGCCAGCGCGTACAAAACCTCATTGTTTTTTGCTTGGCGGCGCTTTTCCAACGCACTCGGCGTTGTTTGTGCGAGCAGAACCGGCTCGCTTTGGGCCAGCAGTCGACTATCAGACGGTTGCGTCTGGCTGAAGCACGCTGATAAGATTTATTGCTGACTGTCGCTGACATCCACACTTGCATAATCAGCGGTGGGTCATGTGGGAGACGCGGGAGGCGCAGCTCAAGGCCTGCCTGTGCCGGATCTCCTTCTCCAAAGCCAAGGTCGGAATTCACAGCCGACGTCAACTCGCATCGACGGTGGCCGAATTACAAGTGACGCGCACGTCAAAAACGATACCCAAAGCCAAGGTCGGAATTCACAGCCGACGTCAACTTGCATCGACGGTGGCCGAATTACAAGTGATGCGCACGTCAAAACGATTTAACCATTTAACGTTTTCTTTCGCCTTTCTCGTCTCCTTCCATCTAGCCGTCTGTCCTGGCCTTGTCGCTCCTGAGGCAGCAGATCGAAGCCATTCAGTCGCAGGACATGTTGGAAATAGCCCGTCACATCCAGAGACACCTGAAGGTAAACAAAACACCGTCGAACTCACGCGCGCGACAAGAAACGACGACGGCCGTAGTACGTTTACGACAGCGGTCCCCAGCCGCCGATCCGCGGACGGGTACAGGAGACGTTCCTCTCCAGAGCGACGTGGAGGAGGAAGCCGTTGTGTGCGTGCGATGTCGTCAAAAACGAGGCCATACGAGAAACCTGTTGAATCATTTGAACAAGTGGCAAAAACGCGAGCGGAGCTTAAACGGCCTGCCCACGTAAAAAACATGAGCAGTTTCGTCGCTACGAACTAGTCGGCGGCTACCGGATGGAGGCAGCGATCAATCGTGTCATCTTTTGATCAGTAGCAATGATGCAAACCATTTCAAGTTACCAAGTATGGTTCATCGCTATCTAAAGTGCTACTATTGTCCACCGATGCTAAAACTTCACCAAAGCAAAGTGAGTGGTCGGTATCATAACAACTGAGCAATCACCGGAGACTTTGTAAGCGGCGAGTTGCGAGCACTCCTTGCATGTGTACAAACTAGGCATGTTTATTTTTAGCCAGGTTCCGATCCAATAAACATTCTCCTCTTGTCTGTGGAGGGTACGTGTTTATGTAAGATGTCATTTAGTGGTAATTCTATCATTTTGCAAAAAGTCAAACCGTGAAATTGGATTTTGGGTTCGAACAAAATGAGCCGATTTGAACGTTGTTAGTTTTCCCAATTTTTAGCTTTTCAAATATTCGACAAGTTGCTTCGACATTTCAAAGAGTACGTCGTCACTCGAATATGTCGTGATGGAGGTCCAAAGAAGTATTTACCCTGCTATTTTTTTTTTAACCTGTGGATCTGAAAAAAGAAACCAGTTTCAGCATTCGGTTGCACATTTGGAAGCTCGAGTGTGTACATATTTACGGTGGACGGGAGGTCTAGGGGGGGGGGGGCAAACCGGGCTAATGGGTCTGCTGCCTGTTTGGTTTCAGATTGCAGACAGCGAGCTCCTGTTGTGGCGCGGCCAAGTTGCTCAGTGCTTGTCGGACTACGCCTCTCCGGAGTGCAGCAAACCCAATCATAGGAAACTGCAGTGGATCGTGTCGCGTCGGACCGCCCAGAACCTACACAGCAGTTACCGCAGCGTACCCGAACTGCCCACCATCCCCGAGTGCTGCTGGGATGAGAGCGAGAGGTGAGAGTTGCGACGTACCCGTGCAGCGTGGCTCTCAGGTTCACAACTCCCCCCCACGCCCACTTAGTTCTCGCTCCCTCAAATAGTGTTTGGTCTGCAGACCCGAGGCACCGGGCAAGTGCGGAGGACCTCAGAGGTGGGGCGAGGCCATTTCAAAATTTGAAAACAAATAGTCGGATCTTCAAAAGAATTCTAAAATGAGCCAGACACACGGGTGCACTCATGCCCAAAATCGTCATGCAACGGCAGGTTCAAGTCAGCTGGAAAATACCAAACACGCCTTCTGGTGACGCATTCAATGAAAAAGAAACCAAGCCCAAGGGTCAACACAGACATTCAAGTTTCTACAGCAAGCGAATGAGTGTTTTTTTTTTTTTTCCGAGCACATTCACGTCATTCTAAAAAAAACTGCAACACCACACACGGCGCTGCAACAGTGCGTCACACAGTCGTACGTGACGGGCTCCTCGAGCGGACTGACTAACGTGTCTTGCCGCTCCCTTTCGTATCTCCGAAGGGAGATACGTTGCCCGTCTGGATGGGTGCGAGTCACAGGTCGCGTCCCACTGAGACGAGGCCAGTTTCCGTGACATCACGCAAGGCCTCGCCCTTTGGTGCAACAAGGGGTTTACCGAAACGTCCGGCTAATGTTGAAACGGAGGAGGAAAGAGGAACTTGACTCAGTGGCCACATATATTAGCCGTGCGTCAATCTCTCAGGACGTCCAATGTGAGCTAAATAGTCATGTTCAATTTTCAGAGATATTAAATTGTTTGGCACCTCTTCGAGCTTTTAATGAGATCAATATTACAAACTGGCTTGGCCGATATAATTACCGGTGAGAGTATTTATTTCTATTTTGGTTTTCAGCCATCCAAACAGGAAGTATAATCGCCCACAGGGTATGTCAACAAACCTGGTGACGTTGAATTTTACATCAGGACTGACTGACTGACTGCCAGTCAGCTGACACATGTGACTGCAAACATTTTTGCACAACGCAACGAGCTGACAGTCAAGTGGAAGTTAGAAAAGCATTTTTTTTTTTTTTGCTGTGTCATGCATGTCAGAGAATTGCAAATATACGTTCGGCAAATCTTTACATTTTAAGATGCCCTGACTTTTCTGTACATAAAGCCCTCGGATTTGTTTGTAGACAAATTAAAACCGTGTGTTGTTTTGTTTTTTTTTTTATTATTTTTCAGTGAGGACTCCTGCGAGGACATGATGAGTTCGGGCGAGGAGTCCCTCAGCAGCTCACTGGGCAGCGATGGCGAAGGGCCCTTTTTTCCAGCTCACCTCCGCCACCAATACCTCAACGCCTGACGTCGCCGTGCCTCACGCCCACCCAGAATGTTCGACTTTTAATTTATTGCCTGATAAGCTCCGGTGCTCGAAGTGAATTGCACAACAACTGGCAGCTGAGCAGACGTGCATTTCTAGATTTTTTAGTTAGATGTGTCGGTGGTACATTCCAAGATACAGAATAGGTTTGAAGACACTCTGGTTGGTTGGGGTGCGAGAACTGCTGTCAGATCAGAGCAAAAAAAAAAAACAAAAACAAAAGAAAAAAGAAAAAAAAAACACTGTTCAGTTGTTGTCAAGAACTTTAATTTAGCTCAAATGTGGCATGCATAGAAAGTGTTGACTGTTAATCCAAGATGAATTAGTTTACTGATCCGCAGAAGCCGAGGGCAGCTGCAGTTACAACTATCTGGATTTGATCCGTTTGCATTTCAAGTCTTTCATTTTGAACGAGACTTTTTAGAGTTCTCGATTTTATTTTTCGTGCATATGCATATTGAGTGACAATATATTGTGAACTTAATCTGTTGAAATTCCAACAAGTCCTGAGACGCGTTGACTCAAAATAGGAGGCCATGAATTTATTGGACCATCAGCAGCAGTAAGGATGGAAACTGGTCAACTAAATGAGAACATTCGGAATTGACTGAATACTTTTAGTGACTGCAACTGCCCTCGACTTCTGAGTGTGTTCATTTGCACAGTTTGTAATTTGTGTTTTGGAAGCATTTGGTGTCTTTGGGGAAAACGTGTGTGTGTGTGTGAGACAAATGTTTGTTTTTCTTGACTCTCCTGAGGCCATTTACTCAAAGTGCAGCAAAGAGCACTTTACTCTCCCTATAGAGGGTCAAACACTGTTGACTCATTTGGTGAGTGTGTTATTTTTTGTGATAGTGTGCGGGTTGTTTTGGGTTTGTTTGTTTTTTTAAACCCCAAAGTTAAAGTTGCCAATTTTAGATGTAGCTTAAAAAAAGGTTTGAAAATTGTCCCAAAAGAATGTTGTGTGGAACAAACTGATGCTGAATTTAACATGTTAAAAAAAAAATCCAGAAATGCATAGAAAAATGTAAAATTGTAAATGATGTACAAAAAAAAAATTATAGTCCTTTGTAGATATTACGTTAATTTATTCTTTTTGTCACATGTACTTGGGAAAAAAAACATCTTATAAAAAGGTTATTTTTTAAACACTTTGGCTCTCTTATTTTCACCATGTTAAAATACAGTGAAGTAGCAACCTAAATTTAGCTCATCTATGATGGACTGATGCAAAGTGGAAAGTTGAAATGTGGACTCGTTAGACCACAGAACCTTTTTTTTTTTTTTTTAGCAGCACGGTTGTCCATCCGGCCTGCACAATCCACAGCTGCAACACAACTCAGATCAGTTTCTACTGTACTGATTCTCGGAAACGGGACTGAAACCCACAAACAGTCGACAGCCATGATCAGTGTTGGAAGAGAAAATTGCAGCGGTGTTACATTCCAACTGAGAATGGACTTGAAGTAGCTCCCGCCATCTGCCTTAACTGGTGTCGCAACTTTGCGCTTTAACAACCCCCACCCCCCCATCTCCGTGGAGATGAGAAGTTATGCTGAAGATGACGTCACTGTAAACCTCTGACAAATTGACCGAAGTAGCTGATAAAACGGTTTCTTGAAATAGGTTGTACAGGCACATTTCATCAAATGGACTTAGTCACTTTACCGATTGCAAATATCATCATCCATGATTCAATTCATCACTGGACAGTCCACATCTGCACATTGCATTGACACGCGCCCGCACACATTGAATATAAAAATGTCATTTGGTCCTACCGAATCCAGCATGCACGCCGTCCGTCTTCTGCCTTGTGAGGGGCTCCGTGGAGTGAAAGATCCATTCGGCTTGTGAGCGTGCATGCTTGCTTTTTGGGTGCGAATTAAAAACCATAATCCACTTCATCGTATCTTGAGGTCGCCAGGTCGTAAAAACGACGTGCAAAAAGAGCAGAGACATTCTGTCCCTGAAGTCACATTGGTTGCTTTGGGGGTTGGGAAGGTTTCAGGTTCCATAAATCCATGACTGATGGAATAACTTGTTTTTGTTAAAAAAAAAAAAAAAACAACACATCGAACGGAATATATGGGATGGGGGGGGGACTCAAAATGTTTTTCAGCCAAAAATTTCATGACTGCATTTTGAACATGGATGGGGCAATGAAAAAAAAAAAAAATCAAAATCCCATACGCGCCTTCTTTTTCTTGGGTTGTGAAGACTGTGACCAAGGCCGCCCCAGTGAACTCTGGGAGAGGGGCAGAGACTGGGAGGAGTGGCGCACCGGCCCACGTAAAGGCCGTTCCGCATCAAAGTCGTAGTCGTGTTGAGCGGGATCGTCCTGCGTGCACAACGGGAATGATTAGAATGCGCAGTGTTGTTTTGCGTTCACTTTGTCCAACAAGGTACAGCACCTTTTTCGGGTGAGGAGAACTGGCAACTTTTTCAGCTGTTGTCGCTCATTTTATCATTTCAGGAAAGGGACTGAATCCACTAGAAAAGAAATCGCCCCCTCACCCAGCCAGGCCCGAATGATATCGCTCAACGCGGCGGCTCGGTATTTTAACTGCAGTTGCAACGTTGTGCCACTATGGAGGCGCTATTCCAACTTGAAATAACTCCCAACGAAGAAACACGTGAAATATATAAACAGAACATATGCTGTATAGTGAAAAGCAAGAATGTGAAAACCCCAGTTACCTGTGATCCAAAGAGAGCGGCGAGGTAGTCCTCTGCAGGGCGTTTGCTTCTCCTCTGACCGGATGGCACCGAGTCAAGTTGGACGCTCTTTGACGGGGTGAGGACGATTGGCGTCGGCAAGGGGGCTTCGGCGAGCACGGCGGCGGGCGTCTTTGCTCTCGGCGCCTCACTCTCCACCGTGCCCTCCGCCTCCGGCCTTTCTGTTTCCGAGGCCACCCCAGAGGACCAGCCCGTAAAGTCCGAGTAATCATCCAGCTCCGACTGGTAGGTGATCGATGAAGTGAAGCTTTCCGAAAGCGCCAGCCGTCGCCCGGCGGACCGCATCCTTGCCTCCCTTTCCTTCCTCCTCCGCCTTCGGAGAGCGTTCCTCTTGAATTCCTTGTTCAGGCCCAGCCGGTCTTCCCACCACGCTCTCCACTTCTCCTCGCCTCGCCAGGCCAGGGTCAGACGCTGACTGAGATCGTCGGGCCACGCTTCCGCGTCCACCTGCTCCGGAAGCGGCACCACATCGGAAGAGGCGGCGGCGCTTCTCACCAGCGGGAAACGGTCGGACATGCACAAACTCAGTTGACGTCTCATACTCTTCACGTGGCTGTCTTGGGACAGTTCTCTCATTTTGTCGCCGGTCAGACTGAAGAGACTGCCGGTGTTGACGGTGACTTGGTGCGGGCAGCGCGGACGCGGCTTCTTTTTGTGGCTCTTGCGCATTAGTTTTTGGAGCCAGAGTTTCCACGTGTTGAGAGCATCTTCGCTGAGTTTTGCTGAAGTCTGCTGGAGAGGTCGATTAGCAGGAGTCAAGTTGATGTGCGTGTCCTGAACGCCGCTTGGCTCTCCTGGGCCATTGGCTGGACCGTTTTTCCCATCTGCACTCAATTCGTGCTCGGGTGCTAGATCATCATTGACGAACAACTGGAGGTTGAACCCTTTCAGGTTTCGTCCTCTCCCTCGTGTCTCTGAATCCTCAGAACCGGTGTCCGAGTTACCGGAATCACCGTGTAGTTTTCTCTCTGGTGTTTCAGCCGCAAATCTGTGAAGGTCTCCGC